AAACAAACACAATCCCTATACACACACACACACACACACACTCACATGCACACTTGCACGCATACATCAAATTCAAACGACGACTGACGACCGACGACTGCAGAAAAAATGCATAAAAATACGAGTAAACAAGTGCCGAATTCAGGGCAGGATGCGGAGGGCTTGTTGCGGTTGCGTAACTTTCTTTCTTCTTTTCTACAAACATGCGTACATATGTATGCATGTACATTAGACTGCATCACTCCCCATACAAAAAAAAAATCGGTACTATTTTTCCATTGGAACTATAAAATCTATTATATTTTAATACGTCCACCAAAATATTTCGAAAAAATATTAAGATTTAAGTGAGCTGGACCAATTTCAAAATACCTCCAAAAAAGGAGTTTTTTATGAATAAAAATAGTTTCTTACATTTTTTTTTGAAAAAATGCCCTCAAATGACAAAACGGTTTAAGCTTAAAAAATTTGCATAAAAATATTTTCAAAAAATTTTAAAAAAATTTGAACGGAATCGTAATGATGAGATTTTTAATGCTGTTTTTTAACTTTTTTCAAAGATTGGTATCAGAATAGTTTTGGCCCAGTTATTCAAGTTTTTCGTAAATCAATCTTTGAAAAAAAGTAAAAAAGATTTTTAAATATTTGTATGCAGATTTTTTAAGCTAAATCTGTTTTGTCATCTGACGGGGCTTTTTTCAAAAAGTTCTTTTATTTTTATTTATAAAAAACTCCATTTTTGGAGGTATTTTCAAATCGGTCCAGCTCACTTAAATCTTAATATTTTTCCCAAATATTTTGGTGAACGTCTTAAAATATAATAAATTTTGTAATCCCGCCGGAAAAACCGCAACTTTTTTTTGGTGATGCAGTCTAATGTACATATGTATATACATAGATATTATTTGTTTGTACGCGTTCACTTGCTGCTAGCATTTTTTCTTTGAACTACCCCCGTGTACGAGCTCGCGCTTGTGTGTGTGTGCCTGCTCGCTTTTAATATCCTTTGCTCTGTTCAAAATTGATTAATGATCTGTGCAAAGGATGTTACGCCTTGTTCACAACTACGGCAACCACTATTTTACGCTGTTTTTTTTTTTTTGCCCGCCACCAATGCAAGGTTTCGTATGAACTCAGCACTCGGAAACGGCGGTGACAAATTCGGGGGAGGTTGCCGTGTAATCAGCAGCAAATCACTGAACACCGACCGCTTCGGATGAAAATAAGTTTGTTTTGTCTATAACAATGTCATTACGAGGCTTCGCCTTTCCGCTGAAGCACAGCTAAGTTCTGGGTGCAACAATCTTGTTACCGTCTATTCAGATAATCGTTGTAGAGCCGCAAACAATTACCGACTGTGTGGCTAATGTGACACATATTGCAACAAATGACGGTGATATACATAAATACATATGTATGTATGAATAATGTATGTATGTATACATATATACTTACGCACAATAGTTTTTTTTTTTTTTTTTGTATAGAAAAAGTATCGAAGGTCACACCGCGAGCGTGTCTGTGTAGGACCCTAACCCGAACTAAACTTAAGTAAAACGCTCTCTCCGGTACTACATAGTAGAGGTTTACGCCGACAGGCTTTGCGGCGGCGGCGTGTTCAACTTCAAAAAGAATCGGCGGCGGCGGCGACGCCGGCGCGTCTGGAAACGCCGGCGCTACTGCCCATAAGGTAGAGTCCAAAGAGCCATGAGGCTTCTAATCTCATCATGTCATCAGATTATAATTCTATTTAATTCATTCATTGAATTCAAATGTTGAGTGACTGCTGCTGATGGATGGGCGAACAGAAGAAAGTATATATAGTATATACATTAGGTTTCCCATTGAAAATGATTTTTTTTTGAAAATTTAAAGACCCTACCCCCTAATTTGATTCGTTTTTATGAGAAATATTATTGCCTATTTTTATAGATTTTTTAAAGGCCATTTAGAGGTCGCGGCCTGTCGATTTAGGTCAGAAAATACGATTTTCTAGATTCATGAGTTTTTGAGAGACTATTTTTGCTTGAATTTCAATGAATTTTTTAAATTTTGACCATCGATAATTTCCACAATTTGAAAATATGTAGTACTAAGGTACAAAAAAACGATTTTCGATGGGCACCCTAATATACATACATCTCTATGTACTCTAAAAATGCGTATGTACTATTTCAATTTAAAGAAATAAAAAAATTTAAAGGTTAAGTTATTGGGGTAATTTATGTCGCTATCAATAAAGTTTTGCAATAAGCTTTCAACCGTTATGTTAAATTACGGAGTTCTTACGAATTTTTGCGGGTTATATATTGAAAATAAGGTTGGCCTACTTTTTTCCAAAAGTTTAACCCATCAACTCCCACCACAACGGGCCTTTTTGACCCACTGTTTGAAAAATGGCTTATAAATAGTTAAATTTCCAATAATATATTAAGTGCCAAATTTTTCTAAGGAGAACAGAATGTAATGCAAAATAATAGTAATTTTTACCAAAAAGGGGGACTTCAACTCTGTGTAGAAAATATTGCTATGCGCGGGAGCAAAACCTTCCTGGGGTTTGACCACTACTTAGGAAAAAAACTTTTCTACCCTATTCGACCCTAATTTAACTGTAATAAACGCTGTCGATCGAAAAACATGTTACCTATATATTTTTCTGAGTTACGCTTTTTTATTAAATGTAATTTTCATTTCGTAAAATAGTGTTTTTATACGAGTAGTATTTAGTTCCTTCAAACGATGTATTTCAATGTGCATACAACATGAAAATTTTGTACAAAATTCCCTAGGCGCCGAACGCCGCCGCCGCCGCCGCCGCGCCGATATTTTCGTAACTCGGCGGCGGCGCGTGAGAAATGACAAAAAACGGCGGCGGCGGCGGCGTGGCCCGGCGGCGTATACCTCTACTACATAGATAGTTATTGTCAAACATTTTGGTGGAAGAAAATAGTTTGAGCACTAAGCTCTAAGTTGGTTACAGACCTGATTCGAACCGTAGAAGCTCTTAGGAAATCTTAGAGACTAAAAAACGTTCCCCATTCGGGCGCCTTCATACGTTTTAGCCGCGGTCAATTTAGTTAGCAATGCCACTTCTATTCTTGCATTGTTGCTTCGTTTAGCTTTCTTTTTCTTTTGCTCCTGTTGTATTTCGGCAGTCGGTATTTGTTACTCGGGCAAGCAACAATTTTCACAACATTCGTTGGTTTGAGCTAATCAGCTCTTTTGCCCGACTATCAGGTCACTTGCTCAATTAGGTGAAAATTCCTATAATCGTATGGATTTCGGTGCTGTTTCAAGTTTGGACATGCGGTCGCACAATGAGGCCGATTGATATATGAGAGTGCCAAAAAAAAAAAATCCACTGCTGGGTACTTACTTGTGCAGGGCGGCCTCATTATTCGCCACAAAGTGAACTTCTGGTAGCTGTAACAAAAGCAGATTGAAGTTGGACTGAGTGGTTGCTTTTAAGGATTTGAGAATCATGACCAGCTGATCTGTGATATCCTTAATATTTTTTTGGTATTTATTTATTTGGTATATTTTGGGAACCGGCGCTCTGAACACGTTGATCGTCAGCAGGATTATTGTCGTACTTTATTGTTGAAACGCTGCTTTCAATCCACCATCACTTTTTTGTTCAAATGGGTCTTCTGTTCTCTGACTGAATAACTGATGTGGGAGTGTGTGCTCATCAATGCTAAATTTTCATGGCTTTGCTCAGAATGTGTTTAAAAATCCAAATTGTTATTTATTGAGTTCACTGATTTTCTGCAAATATAACTTTCGTTTTGTTTAACTTGACATTTCTAAGCACATATATGTATGTATGTATATACATATCTATCAAAAGACAAGCGGACATTCATACATATACATGCATATAATAGCAAAAGCATATTTTTCCAGTGCAAACACAAGTGTTACCATTGTTACAATTCATGAGACGAGGAATTTTTCGCTGTTGTTGTTCGTCACACAATATCAAGCATTAAATACATGCACTCGTACGAGTAAGTGTGTGTAGCTAAACACTCGTTCCAACAACAGTTGTCGCCTGCGAACAATGCATGACAAATTTTGATTTTCTGCGTATTTAATCAATTTCAACCATCTCATCCATTTCAGCTATTTTATTCATTCAATGTGTTTCGCCCAACAGCCTCATTCAGCCGTGCAGCCGAGCACCCAACCATCCATCCATCCATTCATCCATTCACTAGTCTGTCTGTCTAATCGTCGTTTGCTTGCCTTCTCAGTCAGCGAGCGCAACATGGTGCAGTCGACGAGGTAGAGGAACAACAAACACTCTCGATATTGTCAAATGTGACTAATTTCATGCTCGCGCGTCAGCGCGCACTTTCATTTGCCTCTGATCTGCTTGGCTCGAAATGCCCGAGGGTGGGCGGGCGGTCGAAGCGAGTGGGTGGGTGGGTGGCAATGGTTGTTGTAGCGCCTTTGTCAACTTGGCGGAACACATTCTTTACCTGCACCTGCAAATAGCACACTGAAATGCACAAACGACATGGAACATTGGATGACACGCGTGATTATCTGTGGAGTTCTGTCAATTGGAATCTATGTTTGTATGTACATACAAGTATGTGCATATAGATGTACATATGTATGTCTGTCTAACTGCATGTGTGTGTGTGTTGAAGTACTTTAGTTAAAGAATAGCATAAAATGGCTAAATACGTAAATAAAATTTATTTTCAACGAATTTGTTTTTATTCTAATAAATTATACGCTATTAATAGTTGCTAATCGCTTTACTTTGTGCCTTCCTTTTTGATTTTTGATTTTGCTATTTTCCTTTCGTGCTTATTTTTGTAAAATATTATTTGGGNTGTTTTTATTCTAATAAATTATACGCTATTAATAGTTGCTAATCGCTTTACTTTGTGCCTTCCTTTTTTTTGATTTGATTTTGCTATTTTCCTTTCGTGCTTATTTTTGTAAAATATAATTTGGAGTTTCCTATCGTTGCAATAATATTAAAATGCATTTTACTTCTTTATTTGCACAGTGCACGATTTTTTTTTTGCGAATTTTCTTTTTAAGGCTCAACCAAGTCCTTAGAGCAACCGCTATAGCCCAGTTCCTCCGGCCGAAAGTATGAATTCTGCATGCTGTAGAGCCGATCGATGGGATTGACCATTGGCGATTGGGTGAGTGGCCCCATTAACTGTTGAAATGTGGAGTAGCTCAATCCGAGTACGGTACTCAGGAAAGGCTCGTTCATCTTGTTGCAGTTTTCTGAAAATAGAAGCAGAGTCGANGGCCCCATTAACTGTTGAAATGTGGAGTAGCTCAATCCGAGTACGGTACTGAGGAAAGGCTCGTTCATCTTGTTGCAGTTTTCTGAAAATAGAAGCAGAGTCGATCGTAAGAGAAATGCAAGATTGAATGTATATTGTGAACGAATGCAGAGTCAACGTATGCAGTTTTATTAACTAATTCTTCTGAAAGTTTTTTTTTTTAACTGTAACTTATAGCTGGGAATAATAACGACCGAGTGCTTACTATCATTCGTTAGGACCCAGGTTCGATATCTTATCCTGACAAATTCAAAAAAAGGGTTTTATTCTAATAGTGGACGCCTCTCGCCAAGCTAAGGCAAAGCTTCGAGGGCATTTCTGCGGTAAAGAGGCTTCTCATGATTTTATCTGAGATAGGCCCAGGCATTTCTAATGAATTTTTCGCCGCTAAATTCGAGCCTGAATTCAGAAATTTTTGTTGCCCGAAAAATATTTATTTAAAATTTTAAATTATATCTCTTGCTCTATCACATGCCGTTAAGTTTTCTCAAATTTAAAGAATTTTACTATTGTCCCCTTAAAACAATGCCCTAAAAAATGCACCGAGATGTTTAAAAATTTCAAATTGAAATTTTTTGGTTTAAAAATAAGATATTCGAGCAAGAAATATTTTTTTAAAATGCATTGTATAGCTTTTAGAAAAAACCGTCACAATGCTAGATAGGCCAAACCCAGTTTTTTTCTCTGATGTGTGTTAAGCAGTTTCAGGTTAAATAATAAAGTCCGAAAGAAGAATATTTTAAATTTTTTTTTAACAAAATTAGAAATTGCAAATAATTTTTATGATTTTTCCACTTCAACTGAGATTTTCCCCACAATTATTCTGCAAGACATTCCTTTTTCGTTTATAATTTCTAAACGGGTTTTTATTCATAAAAGGGCTTGATAACACCTAGTTGGCAAAAAACAGATTGATTGATAAAACTATTAGGTAAGCTTTCAATATACATATCGTCACCTGAAATGCAAAAATACGTAACAAACATCATCGTTGAAATGCAAAAAGTCATAACTAATAAAAAATTCAAAATTCGCTTTTTGATTTATATGATGGATTTC